AATAAAAGGGGCAACATGACCTACTCTTCTGCGAAGTATTCTTGCGGTAAAGAAGTTCAACCGGAAAAGAGGCAACTCAGTAAAGCAAAAGTATTACTTGGGTTTTGGCTGCCTTGAAGGGGTCATCTCTCTGGAGTCTGTGCTCAAGGTTCCACACTCGCTGCTTGCAAATTCTGTGCTTGTCAATGCCTATCTGTCTAAATTTCTTCATGTCTGCATTGTATGTGCTTTGTTTACAATTGAAACTCCCACCTAAGTTATAGACGGAGCTGTGTCCAGGCTTAACACTCTCGTTTAGGTCATCTAGCAACGCACCTCCCTCCAATGCTCGTACTATCTGTATAGTTTGCATGATAGAATTGATTGTTAATCAACTCATTGCTAGGTCTTGTAGAAGGCTTGGAGACCGATGTCGGGAAATTCATAAATCTGTTGCCATCTCTGCTGTGAAAAACCACTAGTAAAAAGCAAACAAGAAACTGAAACAGAACCACTTGAACAGAACTCCAACTTGTTTCCTGCATCAGAATATACATATATACACATAGAGTAGTGATGAATAATATGTTTACTCGGCTAACTAGGCTCCTTATGGTGTGTGGAAACTGTTGATGAGATATGCAGTTGCAGTGCCACTTGGGTATGTGCACTTCAAGATCATCATTTGTAATTAACACAGTTAAATGAGATCAAAATTTCTTATGAAAATTATCCTAACTACATATGCTTATATATATAAATATATACATATATGCTTATATATATGTAGCTGTTTGTAATAGACTCTAACCTTCCTTAGAGGCACAATAGCGAATAAGCCAATGAAGCTGACTACGAATAGAAATCCAATCATCCAGCCTAGAGAGACATTCACTGGAATGTTTCTAGTTTCAGCCTGAGCAACACCCACAACTTATCCCTCACCATACGGTGCTTTGTATCGTGGGATTGCATTGCTTGGAGTGGAAGGAATCTCTTCACTCCCTAATCATTGTTTGACCCTCGTTATCATTTTCTTCTTTGTTGCAATTGGGGTGAACATTTTGCAAAAGGTGTCACAGAAGTACAAGAGTAAGTATATATTGTACAGGTTTGTTCAGAGTGCGATGTGCATGGCGATAATGTTTTATCTAGTAGGGTATTTCAGCATCGACATGTTCGTAGGGAGTTTCAATTTCTTGCCAATTCAATTGAAGCATTTGGGTTTTGGGACTGATCTGTGGTGAGTCTTTGTGGGGTATTCCGGCTGCTTTATTGTCTCTGGTTGGCGTTTCACCTCCGCTTTGTATGAAGTTTTTGCCTGCAGCTACTAATTCTAAAGTTGATGGGTTATTGGGAGGCCAGTAAAATTGGATATTTTCTTTTTGAATATTTGATGTTTAATTAGAGCTTGTAAGTATATAGAACATGAAGCTTCTAGCTATTTTTTTTTTCAAATAAAAATTGATAAAGGTTATATGTATTTGTGGGTGTCATTAGTGAAGTATCTGAAAAACATAGTTGTAACACATTTGATGAACTGATCATAGTGGATGCAGGCGACTTTAAACTTTGATTGTCAACTGTGAATACTCAAACACCAGTTCACATTTATTATCCACGGCCAAAATCATGGACTAATTTAGAAATAAAGAAGAATCTAATGCTTCTAATTTCGTTAATCCTTTATACTTGACTTCCAACATTAATTAACTCCACTATAGAAAGCAGTTATTTCTCATACAATCATCACAACCACTTTCATCTTCCTCTCCAAATGACGTCCAAAATTGAAATGATCAACATTGGTTTTGCTGCAGGCTCTGTGACTATATATCCATACATGTGTGTGTGTGTGTGTGTGTATATATATATATATATATATGGCTCTTGCTGTAATTTACAGCCAACTGGGTTTGTCTGGGGACGTTGTTTGGGTTCGCTCTGTGTTCCTTTGGAAATTAATAATATATTCATTTAAGTACATAACTATCTCTACCAAAAACCGAAATCTTCTCATCGTCTTCATCTTCCTCCTCAATAAAGCACTTGTCATCCTTGATCTCTCTCAATTCTTTGTTTTTATACAGTTAACCGATTTTTTAGGTGCTTAGTTAGGTTTCTTCTTATGTTAAGGTCAATTATGTCAGTCCTTAATCCAGACTTTATAGTGAATTGTGAAATGATCGACATCCAATCAGTTTATTCGCTTCGGAACATGATTTCTTCTGCATATAATCATATTTGTTCTAAATCATATTCATATTTATTCTAAAGATGCCATAATCATATTTGTCCTAAATCTTTGAAAAGACGTTGTCACTCAACATTTGGCAACTCCGCATATTTAGAATAATTGCAGCTACAAAAAAGAAAGATGTCTTAGAGAAACCTGAAGCATTATGGCATCCCTAACAAATGACCTGTTTGTCTTTTGTTTTTGTTCTTTTTTCCCCTCTGCAAGACAATAACAAAATGATTAGATTATAATAGTTTAGGTATGATTAAACTTGAAACTGAAAAATTATAATAAAATTTACCCAAAGAAAAAATTAACAGCATCAAACAAACTATTCAAAAAAATGTTCACAAAAAATTCAATGGAGTTGCAAAATGACGGTTAATCACATCTTATAACTTGTGCCAAATAACTAGCATTATGGTTTCTACCACCATGCTAAAGTCCAGTGGTTAGTTAATAAGGGCGAAGGTTTAAAGATTACGAACTTTATAAAGGCAAAGCACAGAAAAAGAAAAAGAAAACAAAAGAACTAGATGGTTTGAGAACTTGGTAATATTTAGAAGGAAAAATATAATCTTAAGTGAAAAGAGGTAAAACCCCATGGACAGAAAAGGAGCATGATAAAACAATATGAATATATCATTCTCCCTTTGCATCCAAAAAGAGGATAAATGAATTGAGTCTGGTAAACAGACATTTCTAATCAGCACCAACTTTTACCACATGGTCAGAAATACGACTTGTATCCGCTGTAGTCATTAGACCAGTCACTGAACTTGCCACACCAAGATGGCTTCTTTGTCCTGTATTCCTTCCATGGTCATTAGCAATTGATGATGGCTTCTACATTCCTGCTTATGCTGTTTTATACTTCTCTGACAAAGCCTGGTAATAAAGGTTTTGCTGCTTCCCAAATAACAAGCACAAAGGATAGTGTTACAACTACTTGAATAAATAGAAAGTATATTAATTGTGACTAGTTTTTAAGGACCTGATACACTATGCATTTCGAGTTTATAAGGGGAAGCATACCTTCTCAGTGACAGATGCTGAGACCTTTTTCAGTGCAAATTCAAAATGGATCATTTTGATCATCCATGGAGTTTGATTTGAACAGCTCATAGTTGATGTTAGTTTCTCTTCTAGAGCAGCCATTGCAGCTTCATTAATCTAAAATTATTTTAATAGAAATTGTAAGCCTTTAAGACCCTCAAAACAAGACTACACACATTGTCCACAGAAGACCCTATGAATTGTAAGTTGATATTGATTCTGTGGACATAATTATGAGGAAAGTGAAGCCAAAAGCTCCACTAAAGGTTTTACAAATACTTCCAGAATAACATACAGAGAAAGATAAGAAGATAAACAAACCAGTGCAGTAAGATCAGCCCCACTGAAGTTTTGACAAGTCTCCGTCCTCCCAATGGCACTCAAATCCAAACTGGAATCTATTGGCTTCTTGCGGCCAAGTGCTTTTAAGATCAAACCCCGTTCATCTGGACTAGGTAGTGGAACATAAAGAAGTTTGCCAAACCTACCAGGCCGTAATACAGCACGATCTATCACGTCAATTCTGCAAAAGAAGATGCCAACTGGAATAAATAAAAAGTCCTAGTGACCACCATCAGAACAAATATTAAAGGGAATGGACAATAAACCACACCTATTAGTGGCTCCAATGACAAAAACACCTCGTCGTTGCTCTGCACCATCCAATTCTATGAGTAGCTGCACTTGTAAGCCATGCATTTAGTTAAAACCAAGACACAATAAATTACTGTGGAGGGCACGTAGAAGTAGCTAACAAGATTGTAAAACAATAACTACATAAGATTAATTTACCTGGTTCAAAAGCCGCTCAACAACCCATCCCCCTTCCTTCCCACGTTTTGTTGTCAATGCATCCACCTACAGATAATTACAGAGATGGCAAAACCTCAAAAGTTCAGTAACACTACATTATCTTTTATCAAATTTCATTCAGTAAGACCCAAAATTTCTGAAGTAACCAAACGAACCTAGCAATTCTAGAAACAGTTTAGGTGTTATAAAGAAAGGCATGACAAGTGTTTTCTGAAGTAACCAAAAGAAAACGACTAATATAAAGAAAGGCATCAAGGGGGTGCAACCATACACAAGCTAGAGAGAAAGATCACAGAAGAGAATCAGCCAAAATGTCAAGAAGCTTCTACATCTCATTGAGGAGAAGATGATCCTTAAAAATAACAGTTAAGGTCTGAAACCAAAGATCTCTAATTTCAAACCCTCCAAAGCCCTATTCCTTTCTCCTCAAATAATCACAAAAATAGAATGATGCTCTTGGCAGAACTGAGACTATACCCAGCAAGAGCTTGTTGAGATAGATCCACTCACCACCCACTGGATGTTCAATAAACTAGATGTTGAATCCTACAGTTTTCCTGCCTCCAGGCACCATAAGAGGAGATGGTCAGGGATTCATAACAAAGAGGGTATTGATTAACCAAAAGCCAAACTAGAGCAGAGGAAGACAGAACTTTTTTATTTTTCTTTCTATCTACAACCTATAAATCACACATAAACATATATCTAGGATCCCAAAATGGGAAACTCCCTATAGTTACAACAATAATAGGTGTTTTACTGAAATCCTAGCACCTAATCAAAATGCAAAATAATGATAAAGTATATCAAGCTAGAAGACAAACCTCATCAAAGAAGAGTATGCACGGGGAACATGTCCTGGCACGACTGAATAATGTTCGAACTGCTAACTCGCTCTCTCCGACATATTTATTTAGAAGTTCAGGGCCCTAACCAGTCAATGGAACTTTGGATTATATCAATTGGAGCTTGCAAATTGAACGCAAACATACAAAAGACAGTTACTGAAAAGGAAAACATACAGAAGACACTTCCTAAAACCAGCAAAAAAAAAAAAGAAAAAGAATGCACAATTAATTAAATCTAAGGACCTTGATGTGGATGAAATTTGCTCCTGCCTCATTAGCAACAGCCTTGGCAATCAATGTTTTGCCACAGCCTGGGGGACCATAAAGCAAAAATCCTGTCTCCATATCAACTCCAAATTCCTGCCATCACAAAGAACTCTAGTATCACATCCATTTTATGGCAGGAATGCTGTCTACCAAGATATGCAGCAAAAACAACAAGTACCAAGAAAGAAGAAGAAAACTGATTCAAACTGGATGTGGTTATAAAGATAAAATATCCACCATGCTATTGATCCACAGCTAAAAAAACTTTTTTCTAATAAAAAAATAAGTATTATTATTCGTTAGAACGATAAAAAGAGATTGACTAGAGAACTAGTTTCCCCCCAACCAAAACAAGGATAAAACAACCAAAATAAAAAGAGAAAAGCCAGTGAAAGTCTATAAAAATAATCAGCCAATCTATGCAAAATAGATATTTTTATTAAAAAAAAAGACATTTTTAAAGAGACCATACGACTTCACCCAAAAAGGCACCAAGAAGTCATCCTCCGCCTATAAGCAAAAAGGGCAAGAAATTATTTTTGAGATCCTAGAAACTTCTCTCCAACCCGACACCTACAGCCAAGAAAATAAGGCCCTTGTCACAGTAATCTACCTTCTTCCCTCCTATCAACACCAAGAACTGAAGAAGAAATACAACCTAGATTTAAAGGAGAAACTAAGGAAACACCAGGAGTGCCAAATAAGCAGGTCCATTATCTCTAAGCCAAATCAAGATACAAGAAAAGCACATGTGAGATTCATCAGCAATAAAACACATTGCACTCACCCCAGGGACAAAACATGGCGCAGCCTACGAGCCTAGAGCAAATTATTAGTATTCAACCATTTAAAACTGTGCAATCCAAACAAAAACTTTACCTTTGGGGCAAGCAGAAACTTTCTATAAAGATTTAGTAAAGGGTCATTCTAAAGATTGTGTTTAAGGGTGTCAAGAAATAACAAATAGATCAAGAAGTACTTTACCTGAAGAATCCTAGGCAAAATTAATGATAACAATTTGAAGAAAAAATGACAGAATTGAGAGCTGACTCAAAGAAAAATTAGAAACCTCCACTGCATGTGCAAGCAAAACAGTTTCATATAGGTTTTTCATTCATCAACAAATCTGTTTCTAAAATCAACCTAACCAGAATATCTTAAGATTCCACCGGCTTCAACATTCCAAGTATTAAACCTTTTAATTTATCAAGCAACACTTTCATAGGTAGCCTTGGCAGAACAACAAATTCTTCTTCAATTTTTTCAGTTTTTGAGGATATGCAGTGTCACATCACATCCATTAATATTCATCACTTTTAGTATTAAAAGTTTGATGAGTGGGCAAACATATATGCAGACAATGAAAGGGATAGCAATTATCAATAATACCATATAGTCCTCTGGAAATTTTATGCGCCTAACTATATATCGATCAAATTCCTGCCTTAGACCGTCAAGCCCGCCAACATCTTCCCACTTAACATTAGGTACAGTAGAGAATCCTTCTCTTCTAGAAGATGGTTGCACCATTTTTGCAGCCTCCTGCAAAGAATAACAAAAACACAGAGAAAAGATGGCAGATGATATCAAATGAAGGCCACATCAGCGTCAAGAAAAGCAACTTAGTAATTTCACTTAGCAATTTTCAGAACTTAACGAACTGCAAATAAGGAATATATAACTAAAACCAAGCATATCGCTATAAAAGCATCAAATACATAAAGGTCATGCATTTGCAAAATTAGTTCATGTGCATTTAATAAAGATGAAAAGACAGTAATTTTATCAATCTTACTTAACAATCACACTGAGACATGCAAAGAAATGGTGAATCCATTGATGAATAGACAAGCTTAAACCCTATAAATAATTATGAGTATCAGAGATTATTCAAAAACCTCTACTTCCAACATTAATGTGATGAATACGAACCAATTGATCACAAAACAATCTTAAACCCTATGATTATTTGGATAAGGAATTATTTGAAAAACCTTTACCTCCAACAGCAATGTGATAAAAGGAAAGGTAAATGCAAAATCTTTTTGTCAAGAGAAAATTTTAAATAACATAGATTAGACTACCTCAAAATCAGCCATTGAGATAGTTAGCTTCTCCATCTCTTCAGGCAACCATGGCTGTCTCCACCACTCACCATTATGCTCCTCACCTATATAATCTCTTGAAAGCTCAGACTTCCTTGCATCAATGATTCTCTTCATTGCAAGATTACCAGCCTTGTTAGCAAGGGCAGCCAAATCGGCTCCAACAAATCCTGGTGTAGACCTGGCTATTTTAACAAGGTCGAAAGAACCCTTTAGTCTAAGGTTGCGTGTCAGCACAGAGAGAATCTCAACCCTTGCAATCTCATCCGGAACACCTAGAACAATCTCACGGTCAAATCTTCCAGGCCTCCTTAATGCAGGGTCAAGAACGTCAGGTCTATTAGTAGCCCCAATCACAAGGACATAACCAGGTAAAGAATCATACTTTGCTGTGTTTGGATCTTTATCACTTGGTAGACCAAGTCTGTGAGATTCATCCATACAAGTTATCAATTGTGTTACAATTCGTCTCTCCATCTCCCTCTGTAGATTTTCTCTCTTTGATGCAATTGCATCAATCTCATCAATAAATACAATTGATGGTGCAGTCCTGTATGCCTTAGAGAAGAGCTCTCTAATATTTTCTTCTGATGCACCTGAAAAATTTCACAATGTTGACCAGAAATAATTATATATATTTTTGGGAACGAAAATAGAGGAGAATATAGTTCTATTAAGGTGACAGCATAACTTCATAAATAGCTTCCTGTTATCAGGTATTCCAAGATCCCAACCAAAAGCTTTAAGAAATGGTTGTGCAGAACCAGCCACAGCCAGCAGAAACTAGCTTTTAAAATGGACAAAAGGCAAACCCATCAGAAGACAAACCAAATCAAGGGTATAAAAAGTTCTATTAGCAAAAGATTATTTAAGTAGTAAAATGCTCAAGAGTGCTTAGCATCAGTAGAGGAAAAAAGAGCTTCTAGCTTCATAACTGGAAAAGAGAAATGCCATTTTGTAGAAATAGCTACACAATAACAAGAAAAGCATCGTGTCCTAACAGCTTCAGAATAAGGGATTTTTTTTCGGCTACATGAAAAGTTGCTCATGGCAACACTTGAAAACTCCCAATATTTAAGTGAGTTAAGAAGGTATGAGCCAACTCTTTTTTCTAAAGAAGGTACTAGGAAATCTACTAGAGCTCTGTTTGACATATTAACCCATATATTTAATGGGCAACTTGATAACTTCACATCCTAGGGCCCTCACATAGTCAACTTCTCCAAAAGCAACTAGCAGACTTTTCCAAGTGTCTAAACCCCAGAAAACACCTCAAAGCACACAAGCAAGCATCTGAAGTTCAACAATTTGTCTCAATTTCACCTGCAAAACAGAAGAAAATCATTGGGCAAAAATTAGTGAAATACCACTTTTCTTCTCCCACCCCTCCTAACATTTAGTGTTGGATCAAGTAAGAATCTCTAGCCTACATCAGCAGTGTATTAAAAGTTTCCATAATCCCTTAAAAAAATGTAAGAAATTAGTCCGCCATCATTTATCATAATGACAAAGTTCGAAGAGATTATACATTTTTTTTTTTGAAATAAAAAGTAACGTGTTTATTAACAAGGTACTAGAAAATACCGCCCCGTAAGCAATTTACAAAATAGTTAGTATGTCAATGATATCCCCAAAATCTTCATCCCTTACAATATCATGATCAAATAAACTAGACCCAAAATAGTTAATCCACCTATCTCTTAATTTATACAACCCTAACTCTTTTCCATCAAAGACCCTAACATTTTTTTCTTTTCAAATTACCCAAAAAACAGTCAAAGGAATCAAATTGGCAATATTACATTTGTTGATCAGCCCATCCCATGCCCATATTTCCCCCCTCACATTCCCAGAAATCACCCAACTAATCCCCAAGAGCTCATAAGTAATGCTCTATAAGCTATGGGCAACAGGACACCATAGCAGCAGGTGATTACAAGATTCCTCAGTACACATACAAAGAGAGCATCTATTAACAATAACCTGTCCCCTCGCTCTAAAGTTGTCGAAAGTGAGTATCTTTTCCCTACACGCTTCCCATGCAAAGAAAACCATTCTAGGGGGCACTTTA